TTCCTTCTTTGGCCAAGAACCCTCAAAATCCATTCCCACAAACATTCTCCAGACTTCTGGCAATGTGGATGAGTGACCTGGGGCAGTTTCTCTGGGTCTCTCTGCACTTCTCCCTCTAGTCTAACCCATACAAGCTGAACTCCTGTTATGGGGCAAGCAACGCTACGCAGTGGGCTGTGAAGGGAACTCTTAATTATCCCCTTCAAAAGAGGAACATCTTTCTCAGGTAAAAGGAACCTAGTAGGGGGTGTTTTAAAGGACTCGGGGGATCTGGAGGTTCTCCTAGTTTTCCAAATACTCCCAAATATCCCTGTTCCAATGGTTGGTGTCTCATCCTTTTTGTGTTATTGCTTTAAATTTCACATCAAATCTCTGGGAAGTTCATGCAGACAACTAACGTTTTCATTTAGCAACCTAGAGGTTTGTTTCCAAACTCTGTCTCTAGTGAGATTTTAGCCTGGTCACAGAAAAGCCTTGAGTTCTGCTCTCCACCTTGAGATGAGCTTTGTAGGATTTAATCTTGATGTGCATCCAAATATCCAGTGCTGTCAGAGGCAACTACATGTCAGCTGCATTCTGCATTCTTTTAAAATTATGTCACAACAGCAACTGTACAACCCTCAAAACCCTGCCTCAGTGCACACCTGGTTCCAGCTGGCCACAGAGGCTGGCCTGACTAGGCATGTGGCCCGTCTGTACCATGGGCAGCTCTCCCCATCTGTATTCATTTCTTAGGGCTGTCATAACAAAGTACCACAAATTGAATGGCTCAAACAACAGAAATGTGCTGTTTTATAGTTCTGGACACTGGACGTCTGAGATAAATGAAGGTGTCAGCATGGTTGGGTCCCTCCGAGGCTTCGAGGAATCTGTTCCAGGCCTCCCTCCCAGCTTCTGGTGGTTTGCTGGCCGTCTCTGGGGTTCCTTGGCTCACAGGAGCATCACCTGGGTCTCTGCCTTTAACTTCACATGGTGGTCTCCCTGCCTGTGTGTCTGTGTCTAAATTTCCCTTTTTTTTTTTTTTTGGAGACAGTCTTGCTCTGTCACCCAGGCTGAAGGGCAATGACGATCTCGGCTCACTACAACCTCCGCCTCCCGGGTTCAAGCGATTCTGCTGCCTTAGCCTCCCGAGTAGCTGGGATTGCAGGCGCCTGTCACCACGCCCGGCTAATTAAATTTCCCCTTTTTATGAGGACACCAGTCATGATGGATCAGGGGCCCACCCTACTCTAGTAGGATCTTGATGTGAACTCCCCAAAATTGATGTATCCAAGCTCAAGCCCCAAAGTGACTGTATTTGAACATACGGCTTTATCAGCTAATTAAACTCAAATGAGATCATAAGGGTGGAGACCTAATCTCATAAAAAGAAGAGAGAGATCTTGTGCTCTTTCTGCCATGTGAGGACACAGTGAAAAAGTAGCCAACTGCAAGTTAGGAAGGGGGCCCCTCACCGGGAACCAAGTTGGCCAGCACCCTCATCTTGGACTTCCCGATCTTCAGAGCTATGAGGAAATGCATTTCTGTGTTTAAGCCATCCAGTTTCTGGTATTTTGTTATGATAGTTTCAGCAGACTCAGACAGACCTCATCCTAACTTAACTAAGTACATTGCAAGACAGTCCCATTCTGAGGTGCTGGGGGTTAGGACTTCAACATATACGTTACGGTGTCAACGCATAATGCCGTCCACACCAGAAAGTAAATGGCAGTTTAACTACTCTCTACTCATCTAGATCCCAATAACTAATTCCAAATATCCCACATTTTTCTGTTGGCCTGTGGCCTTCAACCTTCTGTCTAGTAGAAAGTTCTGTCAGTTAGGGTTTTTGGTGTGCAGGTAACAGAAACAGACTTGGCACCAGCCTCCAACCACCTTGGGTTCCTCTGTGTCTCTGCGTAAGATTCAGATTCCCAGGAGTGCCTCTGATTGGCCCAGTCCACATGTGGCGGGGCATTGAGGGTGAGGCACACACACCAGAACCAAGGCAGGGTCGGGGAAGGGTCATTGCCTAAAGGCAGTGATTCTGGGTAGAAAGGCCAGCAGGAGTTCTGGGAAGAGGACTGGACTGCTCCATTGAGACCTAGGATGTAAACACAGGCAAACCCCTCCTCCTCTCAGGGTCTCGATTCCTTTTTCATTAACCAGGAGCAACAAGACTTGTCCTGCTCACCTGACAGGTTAGCATCAAACATAAATGAAGACAAGGATGAACTTGGAAATTAACAGAGACTTGTTATTACAGCAGCCAGGCACCCGGTCCCTTCTCTCTAATCTAAACAACCACAGCCCTGCAGTTTCCAGCGTGAATCATGTTGCCTTCTCTTCTGGAAACCTTTCATGCATCTCTTCCTAAAGACCCTACACTGAATGTGGCATTCCTGTGCATTTGTTTACCATTTCCACATCCCACAAAACTCTCTTCCAAAGAATTTGGGTTTGCCCCATGATAGAAACAAATAGGCCAGGCGTGGCGGCTCACACCCGTAATCCCAGCACTTTGGGAAGCGGAGGCAGGCAGATCACTTGAGGTCAGGAGTTCGAGATCAGCCTGGCCAACATGGTGAAGCCCCATCGCTACTAAAAATACAAAAATTAGCCACGGTCAGGATACCGCGGCCATTGAACATATGTCACAGGGCAGGCAGTGCCTCTAATTGGGAAAAAACAAACTATGACCTTAAATAGATGAACTATTTAATAGATTGGTTTTTTAAAATCTATTTTAGTATTTCCAAGTGCAAGCGCCTTTATTGCTCACCAGACAATGAAGCACACGGCTTAACACAGGAGGAACTACCTGCTGGAGGTTTTGGGGTTTTTGGTTATGATGTTATCAGTTAGGAATGTTTTCAGCTGCAAATAATAGAAAACCTAAGTGTGGTGAAACAAATAGGGGTTCACTTCTCTTACATGACAAGAAGGGTGGCTGTGGATGCTGATTTAGCAGCTCAGTGAGCTTGGAGCCAGCCTTTCCCTGATTCTCTTTGCTTTTCTCTCATGATTACAAGAAGGCTGCCTGAATTCCTGGCATCACATCTTTATTCAAGGCAGGAAGCCAGGGGAAAGGGGCTTTTTATCCAGAAAGCCAAAGCTTTTTCTGAAGTCCTTCTGTCAGCTTTCATCTCGGTGACCAGAGCTGTGTCCCATGGCCTGGAAGGCAGAGAAAAGAGCACTTGGCTTTTCCAGATGCTTTAGTGAAGGCAGGCAAGGGAGGGAGGAGGGAACTGGGATTGGAAGAGCTAATCCACAGCGAAGGCTGTGGCTCCTTAAATCTTCATTTGTTTACACCAGGCAGTGTAGTATTTTTCAAACTGGAGAACTGTGACCTACTAGGAGGTTGTGAAATCAGCTTCGTGGGTCTCTGACCAGCATTCTTTTAAAGTAAAATAAAATAGAAAACATTGATGCTCAACTAAAGAGTGAAAGTCAGGACTGTTTGTGACACAGCTGTGTTAGTTTTGTATCTAATGACCTACATGTGAGTCTCAGTCAAAAAGATAGGGAAGCCGTTGCCACAGGGGGGTGATGTGCAGAGGGAGTTGGGCGTGGGCTCGGGGGTCAGACGGCCTGGGGCACTTGGCCTCTTTGGCTATTTATGGCACACATTTGGGCAAGTTACAATCATCCTTTTAGGTCTATTTCTTCTATTGTAAAAGAGAGAAAATAATATACCCACCTTGTTATATGTAAAATACGGGCTAGCACACAGTTTAGGTCCCAGTAATTACCCGAGAAAATGCTGTTGGTATTGGTATCTACTGATAACCAATCGCTGCCAGACCCCGCTTTCATGACCCAATTAGGTTCACTTAAAAGTAGCAACACACTCACATGTAAACCAGAAATGTTAAAATCTCCTCCCCCACAAAAAGTTGACTTTGGCACAGTGCCATCCACCGAATCCTATGGGATGCTATTAGAGAAAATCCTAGGAAACCTATTAATTTCCCTGCAGGACGGCTAACATTGAGGGTGCAGCTTGTGAGTGATCGGCATGGGGCCAGGAGACCCGTGGAAGAAACTTCTCTCTGGCCTGGGTCCCAGGAATTGCTGGGCTTCTTCCGGAAAACTCACTTCCTTTCATCTTTGGGACTGAGCAAATGATGGAGTTGACCCTGTTTCCCTGCTTGCTTTGGCCCTATTAGGAGTTCCTCTCTAGCAGAGAGCACAGGACTTGTGCCAGGGAGAATATTATGGATGCCTAGCTTTTTTCTACAACCTTTTTCTAAGTCCCCTCTGCCTCAACGATTTCCTCCCGTACTTTTTGTGTCTGCGTTTTTATCACAATGGGCTCCTCCCCTGGCCTTGGGCTCCCTTCCCCCAGGGGTAAAGCAGCACTTGAGCATCCCCTCTGTGTGCAGAGGTGACACCACCTCTGCCATTACCAGCCCCACGAAGGGACTTCCATCCAGCAGCCCCACTGGGTGGGAGCGCCCATTTCTACTGCCCGCATGACTGTCTGTGCAGTTTAGGAATGCCGGGGCTGGGAGTTAGGCTGGGTACACTGTGCGGGGGACACGCCGCCCCGCTCCCTGTGCCTGGCATCTAGAACTGAACACTCTACCGCTATGGGAATGGAACCCAGGGCACGACCATCTCAGCCTGCGGAACGATCCAGCCCAGCTGGTGAGAACTCCCGCCCTGGTGTTGGGGGCCAGACAGGGTGCGTGGAGAGGGTCCTTATAACCTGGTCAGTCCCCTAGCCAGAGCAGTCCTACACATCGCTGAGCCCTCTTCAGGTTGAGAACGCTCGCCCTCAGCACAGCCCTACCCTCTGCCCCTGCCCCTGCCCCTACCCAGGGAGGGCCGTCCTGGGGGTCCCAGGACAGGCAGGGACCAGGACTAGGGTTACCAGCACTGACCTGCCCAGCCTGCCCCCCAGCCCCAGCAAGGGGCTGCAGACCCACAGGCTGGCTCCAGGGCTGCCACCCCTCCATGCACAGCCCATGCCAGCTGGGCTCTACAGGATCCTTTTAAATTACGATTCCAAAGTGGGCTGGCCACAGGCAAGAAGCCAGGAGCCTGTTTACACAAATGCTCCCTGCTCAGGGAAGGCTGCCCAAGTCACTCCTTCCTGCTGTCCCCAGACCCGGGCTACTAAGGTCTAGGGGTCCGGAAGGCAGGGTTAGTCCCAGGCAACCACAGTGACGCTCCAGGGGGCTCTGCTGAAGGACAAGGACCTCCTCCTCCTGCATCTCAGCCTCCCCAGCAGCCACAGCCAAGAGCCCTGCCAAGCTGATGGGACCCACTCCATCAACAAGCAGGTGACAGCTTCTTCAGGTAGGGGGTGGGGCATGGTCGCACAGGAGACCCGCAGGGTTCCCTGGGATCCAGGGAGGACCTTCATTCCCACATTGCCTCCCACAGTCCTGAGCACCTGAGCAACAAGGAGTTAATATTTTTTGATTATGGCAAAATACACATACAGTTTATCATGCTAACCATTTGAAGTGTGTGGTTGAGTGGCATTAAGTGCACACACACAGTTGTGCAGCCGTCAGCACCATCTGTCTGTCTCCAGAACTCTGTCATCTTCACAAACTGAAACTCTGGAGCTAAATCTTTAAATCTGTTTCATTCGACAAGCTTTTTGTTTGTTCGTCTTTTTTTTTTTTTTTTTGACGTCCCTGGGTGGGCTCAAACTCATCCAACAGGCTTTGATTGAAGATCTGTTGTGGCTTCCTGGGGGGAACACAGGCAGGACAGACCTGCTCTGAAGGCACCCAGTGGCATGAAGAGGCAAGCCAAGAAGCCTCCAGCCAAGAAGGCGGTAGCCCGCTGGCCACCTCGGGGCACGGGATGGAGGCCCAGGAAGAGGAAGGGGCCAACAGACACTTCTTGGACCAGCCCTTGGTTGGTGGGAGGAACTTCTTGGCTCGGGGGATGGGGTGGCTGGGAGGATTCAAAGGGAATGTTTTTCCTGTGGTCAGACTGGACCTGATAAACAGTGCAGGGGGCCGGCAGGGCAGGGGGACCCAGGGCTGAGGACATGAGGGGATGGCTCTGTGAAAGTCCCAGCTTTCCAAACCACAGAGGGAGGCAGAAATATGTGAAGCATGTGTGGCTCTGAGGGCCTCTCACCCTCGGTCCATCGACCCCTGGACAGACTTCAGATAAATTACAAGCTGCCCACAAGCACTTTGGTGGGAATCTTGTTTTTCCTCTTTCAGACAAAAAGCAGATTTGCTGACAGATTAGGGAGCAGGGGGCTGGGGTGAGGAGGAGGTCACCCAGGAGCACAAAGCCCATTCGAGAAGCATTAAATCACCAGTTAATGAGGTGCTGCTATGCCTTGGTGCTGGGGAGGAGAGGAGGAGTTCAGGGGAAGCCTCTGGAACTCATGGGAAGGACTGCTAGGCCTGGTTTTTCCCGTGACTCCCAAGGACCTAGACTGAACCGGTGGGGCCTGTGGTTCTCATTTCATTCCCCAGGCATTAATTGCCTATGAGGGGACGGAATGATTACCACTGCTGTATGTCTGAGGACACTGAGACACACAGCAGTGGCTTCTCCAATGTCCAATATCCTAGTGAGTGATGGAGTGGGAATCAGGTTGGAGTTTGGAGCCAAGTTACCCTCTCTCCTATGACGCCACTCCCCTGCCTGCTTCCCCACCCCGTCACCTGCTGGGTCACCTACCGCTAACCAGCCCTCATATGGCACCTGCTCACAGGTCACGCCTTTGGCTTTTACAAGGGTATACAGTTGGCACAACAGACATGATTGCACTCATTTCACAGAATAGGGTCTGAGGCCTGGAGAGGCTTTGGGTTTGCACCAAATTCATGACAAAAATATATCTAAATATGCAAATGTGTGGTGCAGTATAGAGGAGTGGTTAGGAACAAAAAGGATCAATCAGCCAGCCAGACCTGGGTTTTAGTCCTGACTGCTGTGTGACCCTGGGCAAGCTGCTTAACCCGTCTGTGTCTAGCTCTCCTCGTCTGTACAGTGGTGATAAGTGTATCATCATCTTGGCATTATTGTACGTGATAAGTAAAATTACACAGATTCCAGCTACTACAGAGCCTGGCATGAAGTCAGTGCTCCACAAATATCCATCAACATCATCACCATCATCAGCCGTGGGCTAACAGGTGCAAGATTGTGGAGGCCTGAGGGCAGCAGGGTGCCAAGGCCCAAGGAGTCTGTGGAGGGTTGGACGGCTGTTTCAGAAAAGACAGGGCCCTTGCCATGGGTGGCGAGGGCCTCCCGCTGGCAGATATGCCACACAGAAGGCTCCACCTCCCTAACAAACTGGCAGAGAAATGAAAACTGAGGGCATGATTTTAAGCAAACACTCTCCCGGCTCAGAAACGGTGCAGGTGCATTTCCATGTCGATCGGTTCCAGGCTCAGAGCTTTGCAGTCAGGACAGGTGGCTGGGTTGTTGCTGGTCTTGTGGTGGCCTCTTCCAGTCCTTGATCTGATTGAAGAGAGCTGCTTGCCTGGAAGTCCTCGGCTCCGAAGCTGCTAGGGCTCCATGCTCTGTGGTTTGCAGGTGAAAGGAGGAGGGGCCGGGGCATTAGGGGTACAGAGCAGGCCTTTGTGGACCCATCTACCACATGGCAGCAGGGAGCCCCTCCCCTTTCCTGGGCGGAGGGGACGGTTGCCTAATGGTTTCATATCTTCATTTGGCCTCAGCTGTCATGGGACAGCCTACGGGGCTCCCACAGCGGTCATGGCCCCTCCGTCTTTGCCACGTTCTTGGTGGGGCATTGTCTTGGGTGAATTGGGTGACTCATCGTGACTCTTTTTCCATTGCTCTCTCAGTGAGGGATGGGGAGGGGTTGGAGGACACCCAGGAACGGGACAGCCATCCCCTGGCCCACCACACTCAGGCCACCACACTCTGTGGCAGAATCGGCCCCTGAGATTTTGTTTTTCCTTTGGGAACCTGTGTTCCCTCCCTGAGCTCCCTGCCATGCATCCATCACCCTCCAGGCCTGTCAGCGTGTCTCAGTTCAATTCCAATAGTAACCCAGGGCTCCCGGCCTAGAGGGGCTGATCCCCAGTCCAAACCCCTCCGCCTACTCAGAAAACCGGAGCAAGATGTGTGGTGAGGAGGACCCGGGAACTGAGAAGCCAGTCGGGAGCCAGCTGGTGGGGGGGCCTCTGGGATCTCTGTGGGGGATTAGAGGTTGGACCAGGAGCCAGGTCCCTGACCAGAACGCTGTGGGCACATGGGTGATCCAACCCATGCACCTGGCCCCCCCCCCGATCCCTCATCCAGCCAGGCCTCGGTCCAGGCACAGGCCGTGTGAACATCTTTGGGGTCTCCATGTCCAGGAGCCCCGTGCTCAGGGACCTCGGGTCCAGAGCCCCTGCGTTCTCCTCAGAAGCCCAGAGCACTCCATCTGTTGCCTCCTTCTGGAGTGGGCTATGGTTTCCTCACAGGCAGCCTCCATTCAGGACTCTCCTGGGGGGCTGCTGGCAGCAGGGAGTTACCTGGGCCACCCCCAGGGACCAGAGTTCCCCCTCGAGGGTCCTTTCCTCTCTCCCCCGTGAGTTGGAAGCGTAGGCGTGGGTGGGGAGGCAGTAGGGGGATACTTTTGGGGACGTGGACCCTCTTATGCTCAGGAATCCCACTGCCTGGGCTGAGTATCTCCTTCCAGGACAGGCTTCTCCCTCCCTTCTGTCCCCCAGGGGTGGGGTGTCCCCTCGAGATTCAAGCCCACCCCAACAGGAGGACCCAGTGTTCTGGAGAGGGCCCAGGCCTGGAGGAATTCTGCAGGCGGGCGCTTGTGGCTGCACGAGGTGAAGACCCGAGCCAAGGCCGCCGGTTCTGGGTCTGCCGGCCCCACTGCTCCAGGGGCTACAGCTGCAGCAGACACGCCCCATTTCCCTTTCTCCCTGAAAGCCCCTCCATTCCCACAGAGCCCACCTGTTCAAGCTAAACCCCTACCCCGACACTCACCACCACTAATTTTTTTCTCTTTCGCAGGAGAGAGGTCTGCCCTGGGTGCAAACCAACCTTCCAGAGGGAACATCCTTCCCCTAGAAACTCCGAGGCCAAGATTAGCCATGAGGATAAAACCCAGAGATCAGACACAGAGACCCGGGGTCAGGCCTTTGGCCACGTGGCCTGGCAGCCTCACCTTGCGGAGTCACAGAGAGGCAGAGCCCCAAGTGAGCCTGGGGAGCCCTGCACCAGCCTGGGTTCCGGCCCTTCCCTCCCCCCATTGCTTCTCATCACCTCTCCCCACTACTCTCCCCTCTCTGGCCCAGAGGGTCCCTGGGAGTCTGGGAAAGCGCCCTGGATTGTCTGGCTCCTCCCAGGGCTGGGACGCCCATTGCCAAGAGAGCACTCAGAAGCCGCCTGTTGGCTTTTAGGACTTTTATTGCCCAAGGTCCCGAGGTCTGGGTGGGACCGCAAGGGGCTGCCCCTGTCCCCAGAGCTGTGCCTGGCCATCCTGGTGGGAGGGCTCGGCTAGAAGAAGTTGACCACCCTGCGGAGCGACTGCACCCGCGCGCTGTGGGCCTCCCAGTCGGAGAAGCTGCGGAAGTCGCCCCTCTCCACCACGTACATGCGGCCGCGGTAGTTGGGCTCCTCGTACAGGACCCACCTGGAGGCCAGGGGAGTGGGAATCAGGGGCTGCCGGGAAGCCCCCCTGGACTCCAGACAGAAGAGCTTGCACAGCCTGGCCACCCAGCAACCCCTCCCGGCCGAGCGGCCCTTTCACTCTGGGCTACACGAAGGCACCCACGGTGCCCACCTTGGCTTTTATTTCCTTCCTCAGTGCCGTGTGGGGTCCGTGCAGGGGTGTGACACCTGTGGGGACAGGCCTAGTAACGTCCACATTTTAAAACTGACCAGTCCTGGCCGGGTGTGGTGGCTCATGCCTGTAATCCCAGAACTTTGGGAGGCCGAGGCAGGCAGATTTCTTGTGGTCAGGAGTTCGAGAGCAGCCTGGCCAATGTGGTGAAACCCCGTGTCTACTAAAAATACAAAAATTAGCTGGGCGTGGTGGTGCATGCCTGTAATCCCAGCTACTCAGGAGACTGAGGCAAGAGAATTGCTTGAACCAGGGAGGCGGAGGTTGCAGTGAGCCGAGATCGCGCCACTGCATTTCAACCGTCCTTGGCAAGGATGCACTCCCGCCATCACTGCACACCCACGCACTCCTGTTCCCTGATAAGGACCACCTTGCACAGACAGTGCCCCCAGCACCTGATGGGGGGCCTGGCACAGAGGGCACCATTCATTCAGTGAATGCCAGTGGGTTCCCACATGTGTGCCCAACACCGTGTCAGGTACCAGAGGTGCCATGGTCACATGACATGGTTCCTGCCCCCTCCTGCCCTCATGGGGCCTCCCCTGCAGAGGAAATGGGCTGTGGGGGTACAGTTGCACAGAGGAGCCTGCAGGGCACAGAGGAGGGTCAGGGAGTCCCAAGTGGGGCCCCTTCCTCTCCTCCTCCCCTTCTGCACACCTCCGGGGCAGCCACCAACAATCCAGAGAGCAGAAACAGTCAGGACAAGTCTTTACGGAGCCTGGAGGACCTGGGGCTGGTGGGGGCAGGAGAGAACACAGCCCTTCGTCACCCAGGAAGCTGTGGGCCCGGCCCAGAAAAGCAGGAAGGTGCGGTGGGGAGGGAATGGGGGACCAGGAGGAAGGGACTGGAGGTCCAGGGGAGTGGCCTCTGCCTGGGAAGGGGCATGTGATACAAGGAAGACGCCTCAGGACAGCTCGGAGCAGGGGCTGGCCCGACCCTGTCCTTCCCTCACCATCTCTGAGACGAGCGAGGCTTGTCACACTTGGTGCCTGGCACAGTCTGCTGCCTCGAGGGTTGGCGCCAGGAAGGAACAGAGAGAGGCAGAGGGTGTGAGCCAGCCTGGAGCACCTGCTGGGGGACTCAGGGCAGGCCTGGTCCAGCCTGGACCCCACCCTCATGGCCCCCCGCGTCCATGCTCCTTCACACCTGGAGCTTTCTGACCCCACACCTATGCCATAGCTGGGGCCTCAGAGGCACCTCAGGGAGTCAGCTGGTCCTTTCCTACCCTGTGGTGGGCAAGAAATACCCTAAGCCATGTCCTGGGCCACATGAGGGTGCTCACATGGACACCCCCAAAAGGAGGGGGCAGGGAACTGCCCATCCTCCTGTCCCCTGTCCTGGCTGTGGCTACTGGGAGGAGGCAGAAAGGGGAAGGGGCAGGGGCCTGTCCTGCCCACATGAGCACCGTGCCCTTCCCCAGGTGGGGGTGGTTGGGGGCAGAATGCCAGCACATTTTCCTCCGAAAGCCCACCAGGACATGGATCTGAGGGGACGGGTCATGCCTGGGCTGATGTGGGACCCAGAGGGAAGGGGTCTTGGCAGTGGGAGGTGGTGAAGGGGCCCTGCCTCGCCCACTCTCCAGACCCCAGGAAAGGCCTCCTAGCAGTGTCCCCTCCGGATCCAGGGGACCCGGGGGCGTTACCTCCTTGACAAGGGCTTACATTTGTGTAAGAGTTAGAGTCTTAGGCGGCAAAGGCTGAGCACCTGGGCCCCCACCTGGGGGACTGACGGCTGGCTCCTTGCAGGGACGGTGGGGATTGAAGGAGATGGACTGTGTGCTCCTCAGTCAGAGAAATGTTCATCTCCACCTTCTCCACCTTCCTTCTCAACAAGCCCCTGAGTGCCTGAGTGCTGGGGTGGGCGGGGGGATTGTGTCTCTGGCCTCAGGACATCCTCCATGCAAAGGTGTGACTTGGGCCTTACAAGACACAATTTAGCCAGCAAGTTTTCCAGGGCAAATTCTTGTTTTGGAATGCCACCCCTGGGCTCCAGGTGCCACCAATTTAGAGCAACATGCAATTTTGTAAAATGGAATCCTGGAGCTAGCTAGAGTGACAGAAACAGCAGATTTCCGCCACTATCAGGCCACCAGGGAAAGGTGGGATGTACACAGTCCCTCCTATCCCTGGGAACTGGTTCCAGGACTTCCCTTGGATGTCAAAATCCAAGGATGCTCAAGTTCCAGATATAAAATGGCATTGTATTTGCATATAACCCATGCGTATCCTCCCATATATAGTAAGTCCTCGCTTAACCCCATCAGTAGGTATTTGGGAACCGTGGCTTTCAGCACGCGATATATAACAAAGCCATTTCTCCCCTCATCAATCTTATAATGAACCCACATTGAACAAGACAACATATTCGAGGACCTGCCATACATCATTTCATTTAAAGTCACAGTCTCCAAGAACCTATCCCCAATGTTAAGTGAGGACTTACTGGACTTGAAATCATCTCCAGATTACTTATGATACCGAATCCAACGTAAATGCTATGTAAATAGCTGTACGGTATATTTCAGGGAATAATGTACATATTCAGCATAGACACAATTGTGGGGGGATAGTTTCACTGTGCAGTCGGAGCCCACGGACATGGGGTGCCACCTGTGTCCAGCTCTGCCTTGGCTCAGTCTCTGTCTCCCTGCAGTCCCTCTGCCCCCTGCATCCTCTCCAGAGCTCCCTGGCCTTGAACCTCTGGAGTATAGAAGGCAAATTGTTCTTCAATTGCTTTGATAGGAGCCAGAACCATGCACAGCCAGCTGGAACCTGTGTGAGGGGCTCTTGGCCTGAGGGGAGGGAACTGAGGCCTGGGAAAGCGGCCAGCTGTGGAACAGGGACAGACACAGGCTTGGCTGTAGTCTCAGCTGTGCCACTCCCATGGGACGGCTGGGCCGTCAGCCTTCTGAGTCTCAGCTTGCCCTTTGTAGAACGGGGGCAATAATATCTACCTGACGCAGAGGTGTGGGCTGGACAATGAAAACAGATGGCCAACTTGAAGGTGCTCAGAGGGTAGTTGCAAAAGGGGAGTATGCGGGAGGGCAGGAGGGGGCACGAAGGCTGCCCTTGGTTGACCAGGAGGAAACCCAAGTGTGGGGCAGACAAACCCGTCTGGGCCTGGGCACAATCCCCCTGGCTACTCTCTGTCCAGAAGTGAGCCACCCTGAAGTCCGTCTTCCCCCAGAGGCCAGGGTGCTGGGGGTTTGCAGAGAGGCCCGGTTCAGGGGTCAGCTTTGCTGGGTAGGCGCTGGGCAGGGTGGGCTGGTCCACCCTTCTCCGAGCAGGTGAGCCCGCTGTGGCTTTCCAGCCCATAAGGCCCTGGGGGATCCTTTGGTAAGCAGGTGTCCCCCGGCTCAAGCAAACCAAAGGCGGTCTCCTGCATCAGATCAATCGCAGAGAACTGTGCAGCTTTCAAGGTCCTCTCCTACCTCTGTTCCTGGACCGATGCCCTATAGGGAAGGTCTCAGGATGCCTCTGGGGCCCAGGGTCCCTCTCTGAGGCCCTTCTGGGCCATAGGGGAAGCTCCCTGCTGCTTGACTGGGGCAGGTGAGGCAGCTGAGGAAAAGAGAGGGCCTGTGGGGCCAGGGACACGCTGCCCCCTGCTGCAGGTCTCATTCCCACCCCACCCACCAGCCCTGCATGGCGGGCAGCCTCGCACGCCTGGTGCTGAAGGGCCTAGCTGGGCCTCGGGGTGCGGCCACGTGGCTGGCCTGTACTCACGCTCCGTCCCCGTACACCTTGATGGCGTTGATGCAGTTCTTGGCCCAGCCCCCACTCTGCAGGAAGGGGCAGTCCTCCAGGAACTCCAGGCACTGGCCCGTGAAGTTGCAACCCTCGAAGATTTCCAGGCGGAAATGTTCCCCGTGCTCCAAGACCAAGCGAAAAAGAAGGAAAGAAGGAGCCTGCTGTGAATTCCCCTCTCCCAGAAACAGAAGCCCCGGGCAGGAAGGAATTAGGAGGCACCCAGGGCACTGGGCACCCCCATCCCACATACTTCAACCCCGCACTTCTGTTTGTTCTTCCACATGAGATGTGGTTGGAAGAAAGGGTTCTATTACTCTAAAACTGTTTCAAGCCACTGAGCTGGTCTAAGCACCTCTTTCTACAACTAGAAAATCTGAGGTCCAAAGACAGCCAAACTGACCAGAGGCCAGCGCTCAGGCTCAGGCTCAGACCAGGGCTGGGGTCTCGGGGCTCCCTCTGGGTGCTCAGCCTGGGGAACTTCTGCCCTGGTCACACCAACACACTCCCGTTTCTGACTTCACTCCAGGGCCGCAGCCCACAGGCAAGCCTTCAAATGATAACGTTTTAAAACTGTAATAGAACCTTTTAGTAAAACATAAAGCCAAAAATCTAAAACAAATACCAGATCTCGTGTGCTGAAACTCCTGCTGGCCTTGACATCATCGTCCCCTAGGCTCAGCACGTCTCCCTATATGATTCCCGCATTTCCAAAAGACAGAGGAGGGCCAGCCCCTGCCTGGCTCAGAAGCCGGCAGGGCCTGGTCTGCGTCACAGCTGGCCCCAGGATAGCTCTTAGGAGAACAGCAGTTCTCAAGATACCAAGGATATTTTTCATATAAATAGCATTATGCAGGGTCCAGGGCCAACCATTTAAATTTCTTTTTTGCCAATTGTACCACAGCCTGGAAGAAATACTAAGAAAGCATTCTTACAATTTGAGATGCCAAAGCCCAGCTGATTTTGCAACTGATACAGAAAAGAGAGGGGGCCCCACACAGAGGCCCCTTCCCTGGGGTTCCTCAGACGTTCACCAGAACCGCCCGGCCCAGGCATCAGGGGAGGGTCCTCGGCAGACATAAGCCCAGACTCTCTGTGATGAGACATGCATACCCCCAGGCTCAGGAATCCTCCCCTTCCCACCTGAAGCTCCCAGAGCTCACAGCAGGTCAGCGAGTACTCATGACCTGGGGGAACGGCCTTGCTTAAATCCCACCCTAGGAGCAGCTGGACAGAAACAGTCCTTCGCCACGGGGGAGCCATGCCCCTCGTCTGCCCTCCCTGCATACACCTCTTGGGTGGCAGCTACCTGTGTAATTCCAAGGGACCTGCCCCCCAATTTTCCCCTGACTGGCGGGTGATTCTTCAGCTTCCTCCATCAGCCACTCCAAGACCGCAGCATGGAAGGCTCCAGAATGTGCTACAAGACCACCTGCACCAGTGGCCACTCTAGGCCCAAATCAGCCTCCCATTGGCTGAGTGTCCCTTATCTGGCTGGAAATCTAAATTTGGACGATTTCAACAGCATTTTAAATGGACAATGCAGCTAGATTTTTGGATCCAAAACTTAAAGTGGTTTCCTGATACCTGTATGAAAACTCAGGGCCACTCCCGCTCGGTTCCCAGCAACTCGGCCCCCCACCTACTCACCTCATGCCAGCAGGTGGCTCTGGGTATAGCTCCCTCAGTCTTACAGACTTTAAAGCTGGGAGGCCCACGCTGCCCAATTCCTTGCCACTGTCTGCCAGGGCTGACCCTCGGTCCCTCCGGCAGGAAGACTCAACCCTCGGTGGACAGGCCCACTCACCATTCCTACAGGCCGACAGGAGCCCATGTGGTCACTGTGGCTGTTCCAGCGGAAGAAGTCGGGGTAGTCGCCGTGCTCCAAGATGAACTGCTGGCCCCGGAAGTCAGGGTGATCGAAGCAGACCCAGGCTCCGCTCTCCACGCGGATGGAGTTCACTCGATTCATAAAGCCCCGGTCCTGGAAGTTGTCACAGTCCCCAAAGACCTCCAGCTTCCTCCCCGTGAAGTGCTTGCCCTCATAGAGAGTGATCTAGAAAGGGCAGGTTACAGAGCCGAGGGTCAGGGGCCTCTCTCCTTCAGTGTTGGAGGCTGGCGTCTGGGTCCCAGCACCCTCGACGGAACCCCTACTCCCAGGCCCGCCAAAGCCCACTCCTGCTGCACACAGTAACATTATTTGCCAATTGGGCAAAAGCATGAATAGTTGGCAGACTGATGCCATACACAGCTCCTGTTCCTTCCTACCCTTAGGAGCTCACAGTGGAGCAGACAAGTTTCAACAGCGGTCTGGGGACAGGGGCTTCCCCTTTGTCTAGGTGCCCATTTCAAAATGGGCTCTTGTCAACTTCCACTGCATTTTTTAACTCATTTTTTAATTCTTAAAACATAAAGCCGATAATAACATTAAAGGAGGTGTTTTCAAAAGAAGAAACTGCACCCACAACCCTCTCGTGGTAACCCAACATATATTTTGCACAAAGGTTCCTGGGATTGGGCCTCCTTCACTGGAGAGGCTGAATTGGCCGAAGCCGCGTCAGGGCCTGGCTCGGGATTAATGTTCTCAAAAGAGGGCTTATAAGTGCCACCCTGTCCCTCTGTGTTTTGTAGGCCACTCCTTCGGGTAGCAGGCACGTATGAGATCTGGAGCTCCATCACCCTGGTGGGAGTTCAGACATCGTGTCCTGTAGCTACGTGGCACCCACAGGTTGTCCTTGTCCCAAAACAAAACAAAGGGAAGCAATAACAACCCCCAACGTCTTTCCTACTGTGGAACCTAAAACCCCAACCATTCCCTAACGCTTTGGGTTTCAAGAACTGCGGCCCTACAACAGGCCTGTCAGAGCGCGGTGATGCTCCCCATCACTATGGCCGTTTGCGCCTCACCAGTGTCTCCAGTTCGCTCAAAAGAACGTGAGAAATGCCTTTCCAGGCCCCTTGGAGTCAGGCGTGGCCACATGCTTTCACCAGAAAGGAGGCGGACACCCTGGTGTTCTGCACCCCAGAGTTACTGGGGCCTTTGTTACTGAAGCATCACCTGGCCCATGCGGACTGATACAGCAACACAGTCACCCCCAGACACTCTGGAATGTGGCCCTGGAGACCAGAGGCTTCATGGCAGTGGCTAGGCTAGGGGCACTGGAGAGAGGGAGGGAGAGCCACGTCTCCCATCCTTCCTGCACCAGGCAGGGCTGGTAGAGGGCCCCTGAGGCTTTCGGGGAGACCTGGGCACCAAAGGGATTCGGGGCTCCCTCAAATCTCAACATTTTTCAGAAAACCAGCCCTGAGTGTCCCTGAAGAGACCCTGAGGAAGGACAAGCCACACAGACCAGCCTTGGGCAAAGAAGCTGCAGCAGTGGGGCCGAGGGCTGTGGGACAAGCCAAGCCTCCCCCACCCCGAGGAAGCCCCGAAGCCCCAGGGCGTCTGACCACCCTCCCTGCTCCTGACTGCGAGGCCAGGGGTTGGAACCCCGGAAGGCAGGAGTGGAGATGGAGACCTTCCTATCCACCCACACTAGAGAGGCCCCAGGCCGACCCCGTTTTATTAAGAAATTAAACCAGCTTCCCTTGGGTTTGTCATCCAGCAACAGTGTGCACCCTCCTGAATCCCCTCGCACAGGGGGCGAAGGTGGGGCCCTGCCCGGTTTCCTTGGGGTTAAGGGACTCACTCACCTTTCCCGAGCGCTGCGCCATGGTGCGCCCCGCCCCATCCGCGGGTCCCGGTTTATACCGGGCAGCTCCCTGCTGGCTCAGCGCCGCCCCGGACAAAAGATTTGCAGGGCCGGCCCCGGCGCGTTAGTGCTATCGGGCGTGCTAAGCCCGAGGGGCCACCAGGCTGCTGAGACCCGCCGCGGCCACCCTGTGCCACCGCGAATGCAGCCCGCCCTGCCCGGGGTCTCCGTGCGCTCTCCACGTTTAGCTCCCAGGCCTCCTTCCTCCCTGAGCCCTCCCGCCCAGCCCGCGGCTGCCCCTGTCCTGCCTTGGAGTGGTGAAGGGAGGAGTGGGGGTGTTTCTCCAGCCCTTTCTTCCCTGGCGCTGCCCCTCAGCCCTCAGGCCCATCTCCCTCCCTCCCAAGACCTGTTCCGAGCTTCCCAGTCCACTCCCCTTTCTCACCTGGCTGCACGCAGTCTCACCTTGGTGCCAACTTGTCTCAGCTTCCCGGACAGACAGACAGCGCTTGACCGCCCCTCCCCCGGCTGCTCTGGTCTGAGCTCCCAGGTCCCCACCTTAGACCTCCTGCTCCTACTCACCCAGCCCCTGATGCACGCCCTCCCCCTTTTCCCAAAATGCCAGGCCAGGTCAGGCCTGCCTCTCCTCCCGCTCTCTTCCTGCCTGCCTCCCTCCTTGGCACTCTCCCTCCCTGGGTCCCTCTCTCCTTGAAGATCCTGCCTAGGGTGCCCAGGTGACCCGCGCTGCCCTGAGCTGGGGGCACAGTGCTCTGCCCCTTGCCTCTCTGCTGCACCAACCATAGCACCCTGGACGCCCAGGATCAGTTTACTGCACAAAGGAGTCCCACCGCGGAGGGAGAGTTCCCCAGAGCCCTGGACGAAGCACTTGGCAGAAAGCAGAGGCTCAGAGATTGTGGCGTGAGCAGAGCGAACGGAGCCCACAGGATGTGTAGCCCCAGACGGCTGGGGAGATGAGCTGGGCACACAGGACCCATGACTCAGATGGCTGGGGGTGTGGGGGACAGGGCTGTGAGATCAAAGGAGCGGGGGGTAGGTAGGTGCTCCATAGCGGGTTCTGCCGGAGAGAAGGGAGGAGCTTTGGGGAACAGTTTGGGCTGCTCTTCCCTCAAACAGTAGAGTGTATTTTTATGACCATTTCACAAATGAGACACTGAGGCCCAGGAAGAGGAGGTTATGTGATTCTTGGGGCAGAGGGGTGACCGTGCCTCTGCTTTGGGAGGTTTTCAAAAGTAGACAGGGCATGAACCAGAACCTGCATGTCACCCTTGAACCCGGGGACAGTCTTCCCCAGGGACGCCGCCCAGCAGGCTGCCTCCACTGGCGACCTTACTTGCCAAGCCACACATTCCAATGTTTGTCTCTGGACGTGGGCCCTGGTGGGGACATAAAATTAAAAACAAAATCTCCTGCCAACCCAGAAAACTTCTCCACGAAGGTAGTAGAAAAAGAAAACAATTTTATTACTGAATAAACTTTAAACTGGAATGTGAGCTGCATCACGATCTCTCCCCCTGAGAGATCGCAAAGATGGAGAGAGATCTCACTCTTCTGCAGCCAAGCAGACGCAACCCATTGCATTCATGTTTTCAGGACAAAATTGCTGATTTTCTCTATCGCTATGACTGGAGGTGGGTTTTGCGATTTGGAGGCAGGTGACAGCTGAAGTCAGGCTTCTCAGGAAACGGGGAGGGTGGCGGCATTTACTGCTTGATGTCAAGACTCAAAGAGGTGGTCCTGGCTCCCAGAGGAAGCACGACTGAGATATTAGACTGGCAACTGGCTTGTGTAGCCATTAAAAAGATTTACACACAGGCCGGGCGCGGTGGCTCAAGCCTGTAATCCCAGCACTTTGGGAGGCCGAGACGGGTGGATCACGAGGTCAGGAGATCGAGACCATCCTGGCTAACACGGTGAAACCCCGTCTCTACTAAAAAAAAAAAATACAAAAAAGTTAGCCGGGCGTGGTGGCGGGCACCTGTAGTCCCAGCTACTCGGGAGGCTGAGGCAGGAGAATGGCGTGAACCCGGAGGCGGAGCTTGCAGTGAGCCGAGATCGCGCCACTGCACTCCAGCCTGGGCGACAGAGTGAGACTCCATCTCAAAAAAAAAAAAAAAAAAAAAAGATTTACACACATTTGAAAATGACAGAGAAGGAAATTCTGCAAGAAAAGGGAGGAAAGGGAAGCCTCGTCCCTTATTTTCAACAGGGAAAAGTAAGCCTTAAAAAAGATTTTATTTTTTAGAGCAGCATTAGGTTCAAGCTGTATTCAGCAAAAGGTACAGGGATTTCCCATATACCCCCTGCCCCTCCATACACACACACACAGACACACACACACACAGACGCACAGAGCCTCCTCCACTATCAACGCCTCCATTAGAGTGGTACGATTGTCACAACTGATGAACCTATGTTATACACCGGGACACAGGATGAGAAGTTGAGAGAATGCCGCATAGGCTTTGTTAGAATAACACATTTGTAAAGTCTCCCCACATAATGTGGTTGATTTCTCACAGCTTACTACTCTTTGTCCCATTCAGTATATAAGTGTTTGACTCTTAACTTTTTCTTTAGGTCTTCATCTCCTTAAAAGGGATCCCATGCCACATAAAACTTGTATTAAATAAGTTTGTATGCTTTTCTCCTGTTAATCTGTCTTATTTCAATTTATTTCTCAGGCCCAGCCAGGACCCTAAGAGAATGGAGGTAGAACTTTGCTGCCCCTACAGTGTAATGTCATGGTTCCACCATTAGAGCACCACATAGAGTATTCTCACCGCCTTAAAAGTCTCCTGGGCGGGCTGGGCGCGGTGGCTCACACCTGTAACCCCAGCACTTTGGGAGGCCAAGGCAGGTGGATCACCTAAGGTCAGGAGTTTGAGACCAGTCTGGTCAACGTGGCAAAACCCTGTCTCTACTAAAAGTACAAAACTAGCCAGGCGTGATGGCAGGCGCCTGTAATCCTAGCTACTCAGGAGGCTGAGTCTGTGAGAATTGCTTGAACCTGGAAGGTGGAGGCTTTATTGAGCCAAGATTACACCACTGCACTCCAGCCTGGACAACAGAGTTAAACTCCGTCTCAAAAAAAAAAAAAAAAAAAAGGCCCCTGTGCTCCATCTGTTTATTCCTCTCTCCCCCTTAACTCCTGGCAACCACTGATCTTTTTACTATCTTCACAGTTTTGCCTTTTCCAGGATGTCATGTATTTGGAATCTTACAGTATGTGGCTACTACAGTTTGAATGGGTCCCCCAAAACACATGTGTTGGAAACTTAATCCCCAATGCAACAATGTTAAAAGATGGGGTCTCATGGGAAGTGTTTAGGTCATGAGGGCCTCACCCTCATTAATGGATTAATGCTGACTATAAAGGGCTACAAGATCTATCTTTTGCTCTCCCTCTCACCCTCTCTTTGCCCTTCTCCCATGGGGTGATGCAGCAAGAAGACCCTTGAAAAATGCCAGCACCATGATGTTAGACTTCTCAACTTCCAGAACTGTGAGCCAATACATTTGTGTTCATTGTAAATTACCCAGTCTGTGGTATTCTGTTATAGCAGCATAAAACGGACTAAGACAGTAAGTAGCTTTTTCAGATTCGTTTCTTTCACTTAGTAATATGCATTTAAAATTCCCTCATATCTTTTTCTGGCCTAGTCACTCATTTCTTTTTACTGCTGAATCATGTTCCATTGTCTGGAAGTACCACAGTTTAGTTATCTATTCATCAATGGAAGGACATTTTGGTTGCTTGCAAGTTTTGGCAATTATGAGGAAAGCTTCTATAAACATCCATGTGTAGATTTTTGTGTGCTCCTTTCACTATACACTAAAGAGTGGGATTGCTGGATCATATGTTAAGGGTATGTTTTGTTTTGCAACAAACTGAAAATAAATAACAGCCAGGTGCAGAGGCTTGTACCTGTAATCCCAGCTACTCAGGAGGCGAAGGCAGGAGGATCACTTGAGGTCAGGAGTTCAAGACCAGCTTGGACAACATAGCAAGACCCTGTCTCTAAAAAATTCAAAATCAAATCAAATAAAAAGAAACCGTCAAACAGTCTTTCAAAGTGACTGTTTCATTTTTCATTCCCACCAGCAATGAATGAGAGTTCCTGTTGCTCCACATCCTCGTCAGCATTTGGTGGTATCAAATTTTGGATTTTAGCCATTCAAATAGGTGTGTAGTGGTGTCTCATTGTTTTAAGAGCTTTTTTTTTTTTTTTTTTTTTTTTTTGAGATGGAGTCTTGCTCTATCCTCCAGGCAGGAGTGCAGTGATGCAATTTTGGCTCACTGCAATCTCTGTCTCCCAGGTTCAAGCAATTCTCCTGCCTCAGCCTCCCCAGTAGCTGGGGCTACAGGTATGTGCCACCATGCCCAGCTAATTTTTTTTTTTTTTTTTTTTTTGGAGGTAGAGTCTTGTTCTGTTGCCCAGGCTGGAGTGAAGTGGTATGATCTCAACTCACTGTAACCTCCACCTCCCGGGTTCAAGCAATTCTCCTACCTCAGCCTCCCGAGTAGCTGGGACTACAGGCACACGCTGCCATGCCCAGCTAATTTTTTTTATTTTAGTAGAGATGGGATTTCACTGTGTTGCTCAAGCTGGTCTTGAACTCCTGAGCTCAGGCAATCCGTCTGCCTTGGCCTCCCAAAGTGCTAGGATTACAGGCGTGAGCCACCACACCTGGCCAATTTTTGTATTTTTAGTAGAAACAGGGCTTCACCACATTGGCCAGGCTGGTCTTGAACACCTGACCTCAAGTGATCTGCCTGCCTTGGCCTCCCAAAGTGCTGGGATTACAGGTGTGAGCCACCGTGCCCAGCCAAACTTCCAAACTTTTTTTTTTTTTTGAGACGGAATCTGGCTCTGTCGCCCAGGCTGGAGTGCAGTGGCACAATCTTGGTTCACTGCAAGCTCCGCCTCCCAGGTTAACGCCATTCTCTTGCCTCAGCCTCCCGAATAGCTGGGACTACAGGCGCCCGCCACCACGCCTGGCTAATTTTTTGTATTTTTTTTAGTAGAGACAGGGTTTCACCGTGTTAGCCAGGATGGTCTCCATCTCCTGACCTCGTGATCCGCCCGCCTCGGCCACCCAAAGTGCTGGGATTACAGGCGTGAGCCATCGTGCCCAGCTAAACTTCATATTTTTAATTTGTGTTTGCCCTCATCACAGCAGAGCCAGAGCACACGGACAACCCAAAAAGGTGATGAGAACAGAATCCAAAACGGAAGCAGTTATTTGGGGTGTTTTCTGATAAACATAGATGAAAAAATGCCTAGCTAAAAGCCCCACTCAAATTGTTAAAAATGGGTAGATGAATAAGATTTTTGCAAATTTCACATCCATTCCCTATTTCTAATGCAATATCTCAGTTCTCACCTGGGATTGTATTATAATTCAGTTACCAGAGGAGG